CCCCAAAACCCCAAAACCCCAGAACTTAATATTCATAAATAATGTTGAAATTAGAAAATGCAAAATAAAACATCTAGAAGCAGTGCAAAGTTTAATTTTTACAATGACCATAGAACTTAAACTAATGGTCTTATAGATACTTCTTATAGAGATTAAGATATTAACTTGTTATCGCAAGGCAATCTTATTAATAACAAGCAAAGAAGATCTATAAGTCAACTCTCTCATAGAGAAGGTGGATATAATACAGTAGCGAATTTGAGCAGAAATAATTTACTAAAGCGTTAAATGAATAGTTCAGTTGTTTAATTTCCTATTCAGAACCTTTTCAAATAAATTGAGATCACTGGTTTTGGCAATGGATAAGGAGTAGGCAATGGAGGTCCTGCTGCTGAGTCTCAAAAGATAATCTCTACTGTAGGACTTACTCACAATGATCATCATTAAGAATTGATTGACATCACTAAGAGAGCGAAGACAACCACAGGAGGCATGAGAAAAGATCAGTTGCTTTAAAAAAAGTTTTCACTTTTTAAAACTGGTGATCTTCCAAACTTGAGTAGCGCTGACAAAAAACTGAGCTCAAGATTTCTTGAATAGTGGATTAATGATACTCTAGATGAATGCTATCATCTAGGCATACCAGGTATAATAGCGAGACCAGAACATAAGCTACCGTTATCAAGACATGGACTTGATAGAATTACACTCACTGTAAGAAAATTTACATTTTATAAACTAAATCAATATAGAACATGGGCATTCCTAATGAATCGGTGAATAGAATTTATCGTAGTCTCTTTGTATTTAGTGTAGGATTCTATGAATTAATGACTGAATGCACTAAATACCTAGACGTTAATAGAGTTACAGTCTAATCTCAAATATGGAAGGTATTTTAGGTGCTACTAGAATACTGCTGCAAAACTGATTATCAACTCATCACTCAGTAAAGTAAGTCTTAGCTTTAGCAAATATATTTACGATAGTGGAAAAGAACCATTAAGGAGAGGTAGAAGACATTGAGAACAAGTATAGAGAAGTGATTTAAAAGTTAGAAAATAGTGAGTCGGAGCTTAAAAAAGAGATGAGAAGACTACAGTTGAGAATAGATGAATTAGAGTTTGAACGAGGTCATTAGGATAAGGAGCGAGATAGAATGGTTGCTGAATCCCAAAAGAATCAGTAGAAGCATGAAGAAGAAGTGTAGTTAAGATTGCATTTTGAATCCAAACTAAATACAATGCATCATGTGAACAGGGAAATCACAAATAAATTGAAGCAAATTAAACTAAAAATAGCGGAAGAACAAATAAGAAATAAGGATTTACAGGCTAGATTGAATAATTTGATTGATGAAAATATCAGAAATAAGTCAGCAAAGGAAAAGTTAGAGAAGTTATCATAGTCATAATTAGACCAAATAGAAATTATTACCAATGATAGATTAGAACTTGAACATAAACTTAAACTGAGCAATGAGGAACTAAGAAATACCTTGAATACTCTAGCCAAAGCTAAAGAACAGAATGAGGATCTTGAAAAGTAAAAAAATGTAACAGACATGGATCTAAGCATTCTCTAAGATTTTATGTCATCAAAGGCCTCTGAGCACAATAATGCTCAGAATTACCTCGAAGCATTAAACATAAAACTCAAAGATTACGAGACTTAAATTGAGTAGTTGAAAATGCGTGAAGACAGAACCAGGACTAAACTGCGTTATTTCAAGTCAGAGCATACTGGATTTGAACTGAGTAAAAGGCAGTTTCAAGAGAGAGAAAAAGAAAATAGATAGAAAATAAAAGACCTTGAGGAAAACATCAAAAATCTTCTGGACAAACTAGATAATAATAGAGTCAATTATGAAGCCTAGATTAAAAAGTACAACCTACTCTAAAATGAACATGATGATGTAATAGAAAAATACTCTATTCAGACCTGTGTTAAAAAGGAAATAGAAGAATAGTTGAAGAGTCAGCTTGATTAAACCAAGAAACTATACAGTTTACAAGAAAATGAGAATAATTTGATCAGATAACTCACTCGTGATCTCTACAACAAAGAGATGAAACTTAAAGAAGTTGAAGATGAGAGAAATGACTTAGATAATAGTTACTAAAAACTAGAGACTTAGTATGAAAACTTTAAGTTAAAGTATGAAACTAATAGCCAAAATCTAAAGTCTTAGTTTGAAAATGAAAAGGACTCTAGGTCTATTTGGAAGGATAGATATGAAAAGGAATTACAGTAATCAGCTTTCCACAATAAAAGCAATTTAGCTTTGAAAAGTGAAATATATGATTTGAGACAAAAGCTAATAAAGTTTGAAATACAGATAGAGAGATTAACGAGCGAAAAAGTAGATTATTAAGAGCAAAGCGAGGACTATAAAGAGAAAGTTTAGTTGCTGGGCCATAGAAATGAGAAGCTTGAAAGAGATATCTACATTAAGAAGGTTATCATCGATGAATATGATGTCAAAAAGAAGAATGAAATATAGCAATATAAGAATCAGATGAAGACTCTCCAAACTCTTATTGCAAGGCATGAAATGCAATCAGAAGATTTATCAAGTGATATTACTAGAATGCATAACAAATATCTGTCCACTTTGGCTGAAATTGAAAATTTACTTGAACAGAAGAAAATTTAGGAAAATTAGCATCATTAGACGAAAAATCAACTATTAGAACTCGCCAAAGATAAATAAATTCTTCAATCTCACTTTGATTTAACAGTATTATAACTTGAAGAGACGAATGCCAAGTATGAGAGCGAGATGTTCAAATGTATAAGCTATTAATAAGACTTAGATAAACAAAAATCAGTAGTTGAGGAATGTAAAGACAAGATAATTCATTTAGAAATAATGATAGATTAAAAGTAACAATCAATATAAGACATAGTCGAGGAGAGAGATTAGTTAATGAGGCAAGTAACCTAAGCTGGAAGAATTGACATTGGCTTGAATGCTGTGCCTATTACATTTCATGTAGCTACTTAATCAGATCAGCACAGTATAAATGCAAACTCTCATGGTGGGTAGCATCACCATGGTCAAGATAGAGTAAGCGGCCATAGAATGAGTATTTATTAGCAAAGTAACAACTTAAACTTGGCAGAAAAATTAAAAACCTTTATCAAAGAAGATGTCGAAAATAGCTATCTATAGGCAAATGAACAATCAAAGAAAATGAAGCCCATTTTCCAAAAGAATCAGTCTATTAGGAAGAATAACAAAAAAGACTAGGACTTTATCTTAGAGGAGGACTTGATGCAGACTCTATCAGATAGTGAAAAAAGAATAAAGAAAAGCATTGAAAAATCAGAGATCAGCAATTCAGCTTTAAGAGCGAGCACTAACAATAAAAAAAGAGTAAACACTAGTTAAAAACTGAGTAGGAATAAGGGATTTGACTTTTAGAAATAAGCTAATTCACTGCGCCAAGGCAATCTCATATCATCTGGAATTGAACCGTATAATGATGCCAGTACCAGTGCTGGCTACAATAACCCAGCCAATCTAAATAGCAGTGTAGGATTTGCTCACACAAACAGTACAAACCTCAATATCAGCGCCCGTGTTGGAACTTCTGACTCCAAACCATCAAATCAATCATTGTAAGATTTGTCATTTTAATGCTTTAATTTTAGTTCTGAAAATTTATCGGTACATAGGAAGAAGTATAGCGTAGAAGAGAGTATGAATTCAGCAGCATAATCAAGAATTAAGAGACTTTTAAAACAAGCTTATTCAGTCAGAGATTGAATGCCTTTTCAGGAAACATTCACAAAAATTACGCAAACTATTTGATTTCTATTAATTACCAAGACTTAAACTTAATTTCATAACTTCTTCTAATTGCTAATTAAAACTTAATCTACAATAAAATAAAAGTTAATATGGGTTGCAACAGTTCAAAGGCTGGTAGTAGAAAGGTAATGTATATACATTCCTAAGTATGTTTTAGTTTGCCATCAGAATGCTACCTGAAATGAAGGTAGATTTGAATAAAGATCCGTAGAGAGAAGTTAAGGAATTTCCCTACATGGAATTTAGATTGACTCCTATTGACTATTAAAAAATTATAGATTAGAATGAGAATTGGATTGATACTTACTTTAGACCTGAGAAATCATCTATTCTGGATCCTAATGTTCCTACTCCAGCAAGAATAAAGGAATGGGAAACTTTCACATGGAAGAGGCCAAAGGATGTATATGGAAAGGGAAACTTTTGCGTATTCAAGAATATAGGTCCAAGTGATATAAAGTAAGGTGCTTGCGGAGACTGTTACTTTTTATCTTCTATAGCATCACTGGCTGAGAACCCTGATAGGGTAAAGGAAATATTTTTAGTTCAAGATGTCAATAAATCTGGATGCTATGCACTAAAACTATACGTGAATGGTGAACCACACACTATAGTAGTCGATGATTATTTCCCTTTTAATGAGAGGAAAAATGATTGGGCGTTTTCAAGATGCTCGGTGGAAAAAGAGATATGGGTTTTATTGCTCGAAAAAGCTTGGGCTAAAATTCATGGTAGTTATTAGAGAATTGAAGCTGGAACAACTGGAGAAGCATTGCCTGCTTTAACTGGAGCCCCGTCTGAATTCTAATATCACGCAGAGGTCAAATCTTAAGATGAAATCTGGAAAAAGATAAGAGACGCAGACCAAAGAAACTATATTATTGCTACAGCTGTATCATCAGCTAGACAAGGCAAATCAAGTGAAGAGATGAAGAAAATAGGATTAGTAGATGCCCATGCTTACTCCTTGATCTCTACTCATGAGGAAGTTGATGCGAGTGGTAAACCAGTTAGACTTATTAAGATCAGAAATCCTTGGGGCTTTAAGGAATGGACAGGCGACTGGAGTGATAAGTCAGCTAAATGGACTCCTGAATTGAAATAAAAACTTAGCTTTGAAGACAAGGATGATGGAGTCTTTTTCATCTGCTATGAGGATTATATGAGTTTCTTCTATATTACATCGATCTGCAAATATATTAAGGAGAATGATTTATCTATTATCGCAGATTAGCACGCAAGATCTGAGTATTGCGTGCAGAAGTTCACTGTGCCAAAGAACTATGATTCTGCCATAATAATTAATGTTAACTAAATACATGCTAGGTTTATGGACGAAGGAATGTTAGGATAATATACTTATGGTGCTATTAAGCTTATTCTGACTAAGATGGTGACACCTATTTAGTCTAATGGACAAAAGGGCTCTGATGAATTAATGTTTATAGATGGATAGTATATCTGCTATCAATAAGCGAATATTATATTACCCAAAATGACTCAGGGAGATTATATTCTGTTCATAAAGATTGAATGGGAGCCTAAGGTGCATCCAGTTAAGAGAATTGTTACAAACATAGATGCTCCAGATCCTTTCGAAATAACAAGAGTGCATTAAAGCAAGTTCCCAGAATCAGTGTTTGTAGAAATGGACGACTTCCTTGCTTAGAGATTAGATTTAGGCATTGACTATGAATTGCCTGTTTTTTCGAGCGATATTGAAGAGTATCATAGAGAAGAGAGACTAAAAATAGAGAAAATTTCATTTAGAACTCCAAAACTAGAAGAAGATATTAATCAGCACTCAAATCATCTATCATATATCCTTAGAATGAAATTTATTCAGACATATGAGGAAGATTAACTTGGAGAATAAGATAAATTTTTTGATTTTCCTTGCTATTTTGACTTAGATTAGAAAAGCATCAGTTATAAGTTGATATTTTAGACTTAGGATATTAAGAACTCATAAAATAAAGAGATTATTATTGATATATAAGAATTAGATTGTAAAGATTAAGGCTATGATAATGGTTAAATTCAAGTTACAATTGAAAACGTTGATTGCCCTCCATTCTTATTAGATCTGCTTTTGAATAATAAAGATACATTTCTAGATAAGGAAAGTGTGTTGATAAGTAGACTACATATGGATAGAAATTCAGTCAGGCACAGATTCATTTCTTAGTCAATTATTGATTACATCTGAAATTTACTAAAAAATCAAACAAATGTTTTATCACTCAATAAATCATGAATAATTTTTAATATTTGATAATAATTCAAGACCCAATTTAATTTAACAATTTGATGTTGTGGGGTTTTGGGGTTTTGGGG